CACGAACACCCCTGCCCCCCAGAGCCTGAGCCTCCTGTCCCTGGGCAGGGCTTGGGCCTTAGGTGGTATCAGTGGGGGGTGAAAGATTCCCTTTGCCAATTTCCTGGCCTTGAACTGGGGGCTCCTTAATGAGGAAATAGTCTCCAGGGCATCATTTTAGAAAGATTAAGTTGCTCTGGGCTTCAGGGGATAAAATGGTGTCCTTGGCCTCTGTTTGTCAGAGGCTGGGGAGGGATGGCTGGAGACAAATCGCTTGATCATTGTCTTCTGTCCACCCTCTCTGGGGCACCTGGTGTTGGCCACTGTCGGCAGACAGGATACTGGGCTAGATGGACCTTTGGTCTGACCCAGCACGGCTGTTCTTATGTTCACTTTTGATTTACAACCACATCCTCATTGTGGATGTTCTGGGGGCTGCCCCCCCCCCCCAAATGTAATGTGTCTGAAATAGGAAAATGAATGCCATGATCAAAGGAGCACCATTGAGTCATCTTGCTGCAGTATCCTCCTTTTTTGCTCATGACACCAAACTCTCCTCAAAGTCTTTCAATAATAAACAAAAGTGCTGTGGTATGGCTAAAAGTCAGATGTGAAGCAACTGTTATCGGGTAGAGTCCAAGTTAGCAAAGCCATTTTGACTCTGTGCACACTACAAGTACAGGCGGCCGTATTCTTCCTTACAAGAAGGTAGTTATAGAGTAGTTGGAACCTTTGTCCCTAATTCAACCTGCTGTGCCTTTGTATTGTAGTTTAAATTGCTGTTCTTAAATATTTGAGCCCTGTCTAACCATGGCTCAATCTGCTTTAAATACAATGGTTATTAGCAAAGTGTTCAGTTTCCCTGACCCCGGTAGATGGGGCCTACTCACATTACAAAGCCATGCTACTATGTGACTTGCAACTTCAGACCTATCAGAGTGAGGAGGTTTTCAAGCTTTCGGTTTCATTTTTAGTTGATCGCAATGCTATGTCTTGCATAGTTTAAAACTGCCATCAAAGCAAGTAAATAAAAACTACTCTCCCTGAAAGTTTGGGTCACTATGTAATCATGAGCTAAGCTATTTGTGGGCATGTGACAAATGTGAATTTGCATATGCACCCTCACACACTAAATGTATTTGGAATTGTTCAGCTAATAACTTTTTAATAAAAACATGGCTAATTGTTCCTCATACAAATCCAAATACAAACTTGCAGTTGCATCCCAAAAGTGTAGCAATATCTGTTAATATGGTACAGTAGAGTAAGCAAGTCCAAAACCAACACAAGAATATAGAAATTGATTAGACCATTTTTTATGTTGATTTGAGGGTTATTGTTGAGAAACTAACTCTGATAAATGACTGAGTTGCTGCTAATAATTTTACCTTTTATATGGTTTACTTATGTTTATATAATTCAGAAGCATAAGGTCCTGATCCTGTGAGGAGACTTGTGTGGGCAGACTTCTGTGCCTGCAGATCCCCACTGAAGTCACTGGGGCTTTGAGCATGCGCAGTGATCTGCCCACAGAGCTCCCTAGGACACAGGTGTATCAGACTCCATATGGAACCCATTGCAGATTTGCTGCTCAGGGTAGATTCTTTTCCATGTTAGGGTATAATCCAGAGTTTTGTTGTGGCAATTCAGGGGTGGATTGCCGGAGTTTTTGTGGACAGTGGCATAGGATGAGTTCCTGGTACATGTTAGTGGCAGGCTGTGCCCTGGGTATCAGTCAGCTGGGGCACTATGCTGTACCAAGTTTCCTACAGTTAAATTTAAAATGATACTGTTGTCCAGGGCGAGACAGGAGTCACATGTTAAGAAACCTCCCCGTGCCTCCCACAGAAGCAGTGTGGGGAGGATGGGATTGAGTGCTTGTTGGAAGCAGGCTTAAAAACTGGCTCCCCGTGAGCACTAGCTTGTGTGGAGCTGCTTCCTCCCTTCCCTCCCTGCTGCCTCTGTATCAGAAGCAACTTTGTGTTTGGGGGGTTCAGGCAGGACCCCCTTTGACTTTCAAGCCGGCTCCCTGCATGTACTGGCTCCTGCGGATTCAGAGGCAGCGGGGCGGAGGCCAGCTCCCCCCCTCTCCCCTCGCGGTAGGAAATATGTAACCACTAAAATGTTCAGCTGTTTACATGTTTCCACAAATACATGTATTTTAACATCTCTAGCATATAGAAGATCTTTTGAAGCATTTCTCCCCAGATATGTAATTGGTCCCACTGGAGTCCTAGAGCATTTTCTGCTGTTTTGTCCAATCTCTGCTGTTTTTCGCTCCTTCCTCTTTTTAAAACTCATGGAATTATATCCCTCTAGTCAGCATCTACCATGTTAGTGTTAACTTTCTGAATATACAGGTGGCATGCTGCTGGATGAGGAGTATACATCTATAAACATATCCAGCAACTGACTGAAATACACTCCCTCTGCATTACCTGATTCCTTGACTTGGTACTATGGTCCTGCTATGGAGCTGAACCAGGAACTATTTTCTATTATATTTGCCCTTTAAGTTTTTAGCCTTTTCTCTAGCTTTGATTTTGTTTTCTTCATTGCAGGGGTGTGAATACCTTTTCTCCAGAGGGGCGGTTGTTCCAGGTGGAATATGCCATCGAGGCTATCAAGGTATTGCAAACCTCAGCCATTGTTGATACATTGCAGTCTGTAGCCAAAGTGCTTCTAATTTTTTTGGGTTGAGTCACTAAGGATGGGAGGACTCTTAAGAAAAGTCCAGTTGTCTCAACTACTGAAATGAACTCTTCAGTTGTTGAGGATTGAACTAGTACCCTATTGTTATTTATTGTTCCCTTTTTAAACACACATGGTGGAGCTATTCAGTGATGCCGGTTAATAGCAATCTTCATGCTATTTTGCAGTTGAGTCAGTCCCCTTCCACTGCCGTTAATGGGCTTCAGATACTGGCAGCAGGCATACTGCTTATTAACTTTTTCTGGAGGAAAGACCCCAGGCAGGTTTGCGTGACAACCACCAGGAAAGAAAGTGCTTGAGGCAGCATAGTGTGTTGCCCTGGCATCAGTGCCTGGGCTCGACATGTCCCACTGCTTCCTTTCCTGGCTGCAGCCACAAACACATATCTGTGACCAAGATCTGCTGCCCTCATCCATAGTGGGCAAAGAAGCTCAGAGAGGAGCCTCTGTCTGAGTCTTGACACTGGGTTGGGAGGCACTGGTAGGGAGGGAGATTTCAGCCCAGATGCTGGGGCTTCCTAGAGTGCAGATGCTGAGGCCCACAAAGCTGCATCCTGTCCTGGCACTGGGGGCTCGAGTTCTGCATGTCCCAGTGTTTGCTCCCTGCCTGCAGCCTCACAAACCAGCTGCTGCCTTATTGGCACCTTCTGGACATTAACAATTTTTACTGGGAACCAAGATGTTGCTAATAAGCAAATCCAGTGTATAATCGATTCAGTGAATGAATGAATGTCAGTTAACACTTAGGAACACCACAGCCTGGAGTCGGGGAAGGGGAAAGAACTCTTCTCCAAACTCTTCCCCAAACTACACAATCAGCAAAAGCTTTAGAACTGGGAGGTCTGACCACCCAAGACTGTTAAAGATCCCATGGCATTTTTGAGACTTGGTGTTAGCACCAATATATAAACCAAACTCTAATTTGAGTACAGCTGGTCCCCGAGTTGCAAACAGTTGATTTACAACCGTTCGCATTTACAACCAAAGCTGTCTTAAATGTCGGTCCCCGAGTTACGAACGTGATCCGCGCTTACGAACAGTGCGGTCAGTATAACTCTGTGGGGTCCAAGTTACGACCAATTGCTTGGTCCGTAACCGGTTCGTAAGTCGGGGAGAGGCTGTAATTACATTCTAGATCCTTAGGTTCTGCCCTATAGCTTAAATTAAAAATTTTTGCTATACGCCTCAAAACTTCTTGGGCTAATGGAGCACTGCATTCTGGGACGTGTAGTTTCCACATACTGCACCTTTCAGAGATTACCAGAATATGGCTCTACCAGAGTCTACTCTATTTAAGGTTAACTAGGTGACCTTTACTTTCTTGGCTAATTGCCAAAGAAGCCTGATGTTTGGGAGTGCCTGTTCATAATATTTGGGAATGATTGTGTTCTTTCTATTGCAAATAGTGCAGTTATCTCATTGCACATGCACCAGATGTATGTATTTTTACAATACATAACAAAGCCAACAATCTCTCCCCAAATTTGTTGCAGAGAGTTTGCATAAGTGTAATTGAGGAAAAACATTTTTTATAGGTTCTTAGAGATCCTCTATTTAATGATTTACATTAAGGATTTATGTAACTGAATATCTTCTCTGTTACTATTGCTTACTAAAACATTTTTGGTCACAAGGAGCAGGGATGATGTAGCTATTCAGTTTCATCAGGTTTTTGGAAGCAAGAACTCTTAAATGCAACCTAGCAGTCAGTGGGTTGATACATTCATATTGCTCAGCAAATAAATATAATTTCTGCTTTAATCCATAGGATAAACTTGCTTGTCTTTGTCAATACCATCAATACGTCTAAAAATTAATTACATTTGTGCAGCTCAAATATTGACTTTTAAGATGTTGGGTACGTTATTCCATGTATTGAGACAATGGCAGGATCCTTCAGTTTACAGGAAAAGATATTGGGGCAATTGGTAATACAATCTTTGTAGTATATCAACCAATAGTAATGTTTCATAATTACGGTAGAGTGTCAGTTTTGCTTGTTGGGAGTTATAAATCTGGAATAACACCAGGCAACATTTCTTTGCCAAAGATTTGAATGTGGTTCAGACAAGATACATACTTAATAACCACCTGGATCCTTTGTTATTGAGAAACATACAGATAGATGGATATGATGCAGCTTCCAGAATTAGGGAACTCTTGTGAGCATTTGACAGTGACATGATTTAGGGTTTCTCTCTAAGGGGAAATTTACTGAAAGTTATACAAGTACAATCTTGCCAACAAAGTTTACTAATATACAAATATATAGGTAAGCCCTTAGTTATGAGCAAGCAATTGATAGCCAAGTACTTCTAATCCTAGCTCTGTTGCCAGGCGTGGCCGTTATCAGTCACTTCACTGTGCCCTTTTCCCTGCCTCTTGACTATCTCAGAAGGGAGCTGAGGATGTAGTAGTTAAGGCATGAAAAGTGATATTTGGTGTTAGTTCAAAGTACCACTGTTTCACTTGTGCACTTGAAGACTCCTATGTAGATTCTGCAGATGGGAAGGGATTTCAAAGCAAAGGCGTTAAAGGAAAGAATAGAAGCGACTAAACCAATAAAATTAATCTGCAAATATTAGATACATCCTGTTTTAAAGCCTCTATGGAAACCAGTGTACCTGATTTAAATTTTTGTTCTGCAAAAGAATATTCACAAGGCACTTTTTAATCCGTGAGACTTTTTAAAAAAAAATCTGAGATTACGATATAGCTCAGGGAAGACATTAATTAGTAATTGATGGTTTCTGGGTTTCAATGAACTTTCAAATTGCACATCCTGAGCAGCCTTATTTCCTTCAGTTCCCAGATCAAATTAGGACCTCTTAGTTTAGCTCTTGCTGTGCATTATCCTGTCTTTGTTATGAAGGTACATTAGTGCAGTGGTTCTCAAACTTCATTGCCTGATGTCCTCATTTTGATGACTGAAATTACTACATAACCCAAAGCGGGGGACTAACACCTTTGCCCACTGGAGCTCTGTTGCTCTGGCTGTGGAGATCAATGCTTGAACCCTGCCCCAGGCAGAGGGGCCTATAACCTGATTGCCGTCTTAGGGCTGATGCTGAAGCTTGAACCCTGCTGGTTGAAGCCCTCAGGCTTCAGCTGGGCCCCACAGTTTGTCAGCCTTGTTGATGCTATTAAAATGGGGTTGCAAGCCACTCTCGGGTCCCGGTCCATAGGTTGAGAACCCTGCATTAGTGTATGTAGAACCTGTTTCTGTTACTGATATTGTAGTACATCAATGGTGTTTTTCTGGGGGGATAGGAGTATGATGTAGGTCAAGATGAACATCCTTATTTTGTGGAGATTCTCTAGTGCTGTTGCAGATCATGTGATGGTGGTAACCTTGTGTGTGTTCTTAGCTTGGCTCCACAGCCATTGGGATTCAGACATCTGAAGGCGTTTGCCTGGCAGTGGAGAAGAGAATCACCTCCTCACTTATGGAACCTGCCAGTATTGAGAAAATCGTAGAAATAGATTCTCATATAGGTAAGAGTAATGCAGGTTTGTTCCATTTTGTGGTAAGGTCTGTGGCATCCTTCCAGCGCTTGGCATATAATGAAAGCCTCTCAAAGGGTATGTCTACACTGCATCCCTAGTTCGAACTAGGGATGCAAATGGAGACAATCGAACTAGTTAATGAAGCGGGGATTTAAATATCCCGCGCTCCATTAACATGATCTCGCCGGCGCGCTAGTTCGAATCACAGCTGATTCGAACCAGGAAGTGCGCGCCGGGACACGTTAGTTCGGACTAAAGCCCTTAGTCCGAACTAATGTTACTCCTCATTTTTTGTTTCATGTTCATTCCCACCCAGCAAATACTGGGTGTGGCTACTGGTTTTCCAGGCTCTAGGCCAGGAGGACATAGTTGCAGGAGCAGGAAGCAGCAGCTGAAATATGCTCCTCCTATTTGACCTCCTAATGAAAGCTCATCCCCCAAATTTAGATCTGGGAAGGCAGGGAATTATTGCAATGTAAAGGTTTGATCCCAGGCCAGCAAATGCTGGGAGCTTACTGATTGGATCACTAATGTTAGCTTGTTTCTCCATGTTCAAGACAGCTTACTGCAGCTGCAGGGGGCCCAAGAAAGGCTTAATTGCCAAATATGTCAGCTTAAAGTTCTCCAAAGCACTCCTCTTGTAAGTGATGAGAATTGGTGTGGACTCTGCTGCCTCTGAAGAGACCGGTGTTCCCTAGGAATCTAGCCTTTCTCCTCTGCTTTCTTAGTATCCTGCCACATTAGCTACCAACAGCTATGTGGTATTGCAAGTTGAACAGATCTATTTATTTATAGCCAATTATTTCAGCCAGCTACAAATGTGCAACTTTGGCATCCTGTGTGCATATCAAATACTGTTAGGTAGAAAGGGGGACTCTTCTGATACTAATAGTGCCACACGTCCTCCCACCCCAAACCTTTGTGTATAGTAGGTCTCCAGTCTGAATTCTGGATGCCTTGTGCTATCCTGCCACTAATTAATTCTCACTACATTATGCCACCCATGTTCGGGAAGCTGGTGAGTGGCTCTGTGGAGCCTGATTGCTGTCTCTGACCTCTTACTGTGCCACTGCCAGTTAATAGAGAAGCCCTTTCCTCATGGGAGAATGACTGTATTATCTTTCTAGTAGTGTCTAGTGTCTTGGATTTTTTTCCAAGGTCCCAAACACAGTTCCTTTCTCAGTTCATGGCAGTACTGAGTGCATGGCAGCTTTGTGTCCTAGAAAGGTAGGCATCAGCCTTGATAAGGCATCGCTTTAGCCAGCTGGCTGACTAGCAAAACCTCACCTGCAATTCCATTTGCATCCAGTGTTCTTTGCTATCTGACTTAAACTATTGTATAGTGCTACTCAGTGCTGTTACAGCAGCTACATTTGGCCCTGTAGGTGAAGGGGTACTTATGTCCCTAGGACAAAGGCAATAAATATGTCACACTTTCTCCCCTTCGTTTCAGGCTGTGCCATGAGCGGATTAATAGCTGATGCAAAGACTTTAATTGATAAAGCAAGAGTGGAGACGCAGGTAAAACTTCTTTCGGTGCCTCTTAGTGTTGTCATTCCCCCTCCACAAACCAATGACCTGATTCTGAGAATAGGTTATTTTTATGGCCTGTTGGATGGTCCTTTGCCGATCTGAGTAGACAATGCTGATTGGGAGGAAAAACTTGGAGCCAAGCCCAGCAGCTGAAATTTCACATGTTTGGCAGAACTGACACTCGCTCACACTGGTCTATTTCGCTGCTTTTCTAAGGGAACTCACAGCTGGATAAAGGCACATCAGTACTGTCCCTCCCTTCTTTTGGAGTAATATGAAACCCTTCTCTCCTTTCAGCAGAGTGCCCTGATTGATATTGCACCACTCTATTAGTGTTGGGCTTCTGTAAAGGAGCGGCAAAATAACAAAGGGACCAATTCACTAATTCTGAAAGATGCTCTTGTGAATTGGTGGTATTTCTGGGTTTTCCCTCCAAAACCCAACCCTGAAGTTACCCTCCTTCTGGGAGGACCATGTAACAGTCACACATCTTTTATCTTGGGATGTTGCTTCTGAGCAGCATGAAGCGTTCCTAGCCTTAGCTCCACCTTGTGATTGAATGTACTCCCTTGGGCTGCTCCAAGTCAGTGCCAGGTCAGAGAATAGAACTAGAGGCTGCCACCTAGCACTGCAGAGCACTGTCCCTAAGCTACCTGGCAGGCCCATTATTTTTGATCCTTTTATTCCTTCAGAACATTGACTTGTGCATGTCCTGTTGAGGATCATGCGCAAGAACTGGCTTTTGGAAAGGGGTGAGTAGGTCATGCCCTTGTGTTGTCTTCTCCTAGAATCACTGGTTTACGTACAATGAAATCATGACTGTAGAGAGTGTGACACAGGCCGTATCCAACCTAGCCCTGCAATTTGGAGAGGAGGATGCTGATCCTGGTGCTATGGTGAGTAGGTGCTGGCATGGGACACTTTCTGAGTGTAAAATCATTGGATTTGCTCTGCCTCAACAGTTCCTGTGTCAACTCTCCTGTGGTTTTGTTACAGTCTCGTCCCTTTGGTGTAGCACTGCTTTTTGGAGGAGTCGATGAAAAAGGACCTCAACTGTAAGTTCAGCTCTCACTAGTTCATGCTCTTCTTGGGGAGAGGCGGGTGTGTCTTGTCTCAGCAGGTGCTTCTGGGCATTTCTGGGTCTTCCCATCCCAAACCCAACACTGAAGTTACCCTTCTTCTGGGAGGACCATTTAACCATCACACACCTTTTATCTTGGGATGTGACTTCTGAGCAACATGGACGTGTGTCTTGTCTCAGCAGCCCCTCAAATCTGCCCTGCAGGATAATAAAACTATCTAGAGCATCACAAGATATTTTTATTAGACAAGAAATAGAGAATTGCATAAAAATCAACATCTTGGGCTTATCTCAGTATGTGCCTGGGATGCACCAAGTGCAGTGATTGCCTGTTGAGTGTTGAACAGAATGCGATGCTTGCAGTAAGTTTGCAGTAAATCCTAATTTTAAGTCTAATTTTACAAAAAGCTGAGAATAAAGTGAGAAGGGGAGATCTTTCTTACCCTTCCCCAGAGGACTCGCGGAACTACTGGTAACATGATATCTGGAGCCCGTAATACCGTTCCTTAGTGGGGCAGTGGGAACACTTGTAACCAGAAACTCAGTGTGGTTCCAAAACCAGACCTTCCTGGATTGGTATTGGGGGTGAGAGCTCCATGAACACAGTAGGAGGAACAGCTCAGAAGAATCTCAAGCTGAAGGTCTGTCTGTGAGTAGCCATGGCCTAAGTCCTTGACAGAACAATAAAATGCTGTTGATGTGAAATGCTGCCACTAGTGTTGCAAGTGACGGTGACAAAGTGTGCAACTCTGATTCTACTTGGGCTGCCCTGGTTGTCTGTTGGATTTTGCATTTGCTTTGGGGCATTTCGTGACCCTTCAGCCTATTTGGATTCTTGGTCTGAATTTTGTTTCACCCTCCAAATGCCAGCAGGAGTTATGTGCTGCAGGTGTGTCTTGTCTCAGCAGCCCCTCAAATCTGCCATGCAGGTTAATGATGGCATTAGCCACATGGCATGTACTCTGAGCCGCTGTCTCAGGACATCAGACAAGCTGCCACTCTGAATGTTAGCTGATGAGTCCTTAGCTTCTAGCTGTAAATTGGGCTCTGCGGGGAACATTCCATGATCACAAGGGGTTACCACGGGAGATTCACAATGCAGTGGCTTAAGACGTGTTTATCTGGATTCCTGGCAGGTTTCACATGGACCCTTCTGGGACATTTGTGCAGTGCGATGCCAAAGCAATTGGGTCTGCCTCGGAAGGTGCGCAGAGCTCCTTGCAAGAGGTTTATCACAAGGTAATGGAATGAGTCAATAATTATACCTTCTGAATAGCTAGCTAGCTGATGTTTGCAATGCCCTGGAAAATAGGTATGACCCCTTGCTTCATGGGAAAGGAAACTAGGCACCAGGGCCAAAGGACTTTTTCATGGTCACAGAGGAAAATGTGTTAAAGCAAGATTGGTCCTCAGGAATTCTTGGTGCTCAGTTCTGTGATTAGACTGTGCTGCCTTAGTTTTCCTTAGGATTTTTTTTCTTGGTTGGGAAACTTTTTCTACCATAGTGGTAATTATGGTGGAATTTCCATTAGGTAACAATCCCTGAAACTATTGACAGAGTATGGTCCTTTATAGACAACTGTCTTTGCATCTGGCACATTAGAAATACATAGGTAGGTCCCATAGCACCAAGAAGTCACCATTTTATGCAGCTATGACGGTCGTCACAGCCTTGTAGTATAAAGAATGAAACTAAAAAGTGTAAGTGATAAAGATAATTGGCCTTGTCTCACCTAGGGTTGTTAACAGGTAACTGGTTAACTAATTACCTGGTATGCATCACTCTTAACTGTTACCTCATAAGCATCACCCGTTGGCTGGTAACAAACACGCCCCCCCTTCCCAGGAGACAGCTGGGCTGGAGCTGCCTTCTAGCCAGTCACTATTTAATCAATTAACCAGTTAAATGTTAAGTTTAACTAATTCAGCATGATTCTACATCCCTAGTCTCTGTCCCTGCTTGTAAATCAGAGCTAGTTACTTCATGGGACAACACTGAGAGATGATGAATATATCAAATGCAGGAGGTGACTTAAGGAAGGACTTCTCTCTCCCACCAGTGAATCTGTCTGGGTGCTCCATTATACAAGGCCAAATACCATAATGAAGAATGTAATTGATCATGCAGATGGACTGGCTGAATGTTCTGATGGGATTTATTCCTCTTTAAAAGCTTAAACAGCCTAACAAACATAAATAGTTTGTGGAGGAGCCAATGGAACTAAGACCTTAGGTGGCTTATTGATGTTGGCATTCAGAAGGCAGATGGATCAGTAGTGGAAAGACAGCCTATACAGTAGTTACTTCTAATGTCAGACCTGCTGCTATAAAGCAAAGTTAGCAGAAGTCAGGCCCTGTTACAAAACAGCTGCTTGCTGGCAGATTCACTGTCCAGAACATGAACAGACCTAGCACTGCAGAATTACAAGCACTCCTAAGAACACGTTCTGGGAGAGTGGTACCAGAACTCCCCGATACGCAAGTTATGGGATAAACGCACTTTGCAAAGATGATGATCCTACAGATCACATTAGGAAGATACCATGCTAGAGGTGTTGCAGGTGAAACAACAAGTACAAATTAAAGGGTGATAACTAATCGTGCCAGAGAGATGTAACTTGTTTGTGTCAGTATATAAAAGAGGAGCTGCCAAACGGGTGTCTTTGGGCTAGGGAGGAGCAAAAGATCCTGCCTGCTCACTGAGCTGAGTCCATTGCAATGAGCATAATAGAGCAGGGTGCTCTCAACAAATATTTTGGTGGTCTCAGTGTGGCCACCAACTCTTGCTGGTGTCCAATCTAACTAACCAGGGCCTGATGAAATGCATCAAGGAGCTGATAGCGGAGGTATCTGAGCCGCTAGCTATCATCTTTGGAAAATCATGGGAGACAGGAGAGATTCCAGAGGACTGGAAAAGGGCAAATCTAGTGCCCATTTATAAAAAGAGAAATAAGAACAACTGTGGAAATTACAGACCAGTTACTTTAACTTCTGTGCCAGGGAAGATAATGGAGCAAGTAATTAAGGAAATTATCTGTAAACACTTGGAAGGTGGCAAGGTGATAGGGAACAGCCAGCATGGGTTTGTAAAGAATAAATCATGTCATCTGAATTTAGACTTGACATGGTCTCATTTGTTGTGAGGTTTTTTGTGAGGGAGGTTTGACTTGTTTTGTAAAACAATAGCACTGTAATAGACAGGAAGAGGAAGGTTGCAGTATTCTACACAGACAAAAAGGAAAACAGTACACCCAGCAACTTAATTACTATGTTGCCCGAATGGCATCCCTCACTGCTGCCATGTTACTATACGCAATTTGGTGACATTTTGATTTGTGGCCAATGATAGCTTGGCATGATATTTGGAGAAGGCCGGAGAGGAGGACTTCTCAATAGGGTGTGCTTTTCTTTTTGAGAGGACTGGTTAGAGCAATGTGCATGAGAAGCTAAACAATGAAACTGAGCAGCTAACTTTTTGTGGCTTGTTTTATTTAACAGTCAATGACACTGAAAGAAGCAATCAAGTCATCCCTCATCATCTTAAAGCAAGTTATGGAGGAGAAACTGAATGCAACTAACATTGAGGTACTTGCTTCTGTACTGCTCTTCCTTTCATAAATATTGTAATATTTTTTCAGAGTTTGGGCTGCCAGGGAAGTCTGTTTTCTAGTTTTTGCTTCCCTGGTCCAAATCTCTGTGGTTACACAGCAATTATGTCCATTATAGTGTTTCACCTGGTATTAAGTCAGGGTTGCTTTTAGATATTTGTTATCATAGCAGTGACTGTAACGTGTGGCCTTTAAAAACAAGGACCCGTCTCCAACTCTTAGCTTTCAGCCTCTTCCTGAGAAGGTAATTCTTGTCTGTGCTCATTGCCATAAGAGCTGTGTGTTATCACATAACTCTGTGGTATGTCCAAAGTGAGAATGAAGTCTGAAATCCTTAGTCTTTCTCTTGAGTTGGGCTCTTGGGAATGTGGTGCTGAGCTCTTCTGCTTGCAAATGCTTGTCTGGGTGAAGATCTGAATTCTGCAACACTCCCTGAATGTGGCAAAGTTTGACTTTGTATTCTTCTCTGTATGTTGGAGGGGGCCATGCTGAGAGCACTGACTCCACAATGGATGTGTCATGTTAGTTGGGTAACTTTTTTTAGGGTTTCCCACTGCCATCCTTTCTTGGCACGTTTCATGCTCCGAGGAATAAAAATTGTACAGCTTCAGGACTTGTTACTTTCAGTCTTGGATCAGTGTCAGAAATCCCTGTTATATGATAATATCAAAGAGATTGTTTCCCAGACTTCAAATCTCTGGAAATGAATACGTAGAGTCTGTTAAGCTCCACTTTCCAGTGATGAGCAGCAACTTTGCCAAATGTAATTTGGTTCATGCATGCTAATGCTTTTTTGGGGTGGGGGGAATAAAATATTTTCCCTCTTACTGTCCATTGTGGTAAGGGTAGGTGAACAGATTTCTTTTAGCAGAGCTAGTGTCTAACAATTTGTTGCTATTTCTGGCATTTTACAAACCAACTGAACCTTAAAATCATGTCATTCTGACTACTAACTTGCTCTTCTGTGTGTTCAGTTCTGGATGTGATTTATTTATTTATTTATTTTTAACAGCAGCTGTCTCTACAGTGGTTAGTTGTAAATGGTAGGTGCACACACTCTAATTTTGGGTGCCTCTGTTTTTGACTACCCATCTTAAGATGCTTGGAATCTGACTGCTCTCAGATGAGCTGCAGCTGCCTTCTCTCTGGCACTCTGAAGGCCCATTTGCTGCAATTGTAGTGGCCATGAGGTGAGGCAGTGAAGCAAGATGATGATCAGAGAATGATGTGATTTTATTTTTTTGTACTGCACAGACTATTAAGCACAGAAATACTTTGACTCCTCTATCAATGCTCTGAAGTCCAGGAAGCATCCCTACGCACTGCTCCTGAGCAGTACCTGCAATAGAAAGCAGTTCAATGACTGCATTAGATACAAGTAGCTGTTCAAGCAACAAAAGCTACTAGGAATAGGCACCAGATGCTAGCTGTGCTGCTTGTGTCTATTTAAATGCTGCTAGTGAGCCCTTCTGAGATGACAAACTGAGGTGGTAAAGAGCATATTGGGTTCAGTTTGTGCATTCAGAGCACAATCTTGTGCCATCCCAGCAACATTCCAAGCTAGCAGGGACTGCTTTGTGGGCATTTTAACTGGGTAGTGCTGCCCTTACATGGAGTTGGGCTCAGCTGTCCTGTTCCAGTCCAGGTGTGCTTTAGTTTGGGGTAATGAGGGTGAGGCTGCCAGGGTGATGAACAAGAGTTGAGGGTCCTGAACAGTTTAGAATGGGAGAGAATCCAGAGGCTTAGGCATGAAGAGAGCTCGGAGAAAGAGCAGAGCTGGCTGAGTGCCAGGGAGGGATACCCCTGAAGCCGGATCAGGCTAAGGAAAGTGAAAGGCAGTCGGAGTTGGGGCACCTCCATGCTTCCCCAGGCCAGTGAGTGCTGAAGGTGAAGAGCAGCAGAAGGTGATGCCTCAGACTGGAGGGTCAGAGGAAGCTGAAGGACGGATGGGTGAACCTGCTGATTTCTCTAGGCAGGAGCTGGAACAAGGCTGGAGAGAAATCCAACTAGATGAGCTGAGCTGGGGTGTGTTGGGGATGCCAAAGCTGTACTTGGTGTTGGTCTGTGGGGACCAATGTGCTATTTGGACTGTGCTGGGGGTATCTTGACTTATGATAGGTAGTGGGACTTCTGGTGGTAAATTAAAACTGCAAAAAAGCTGCTTGTGTTCCACCGGCTGTACTGAGTTTATTTAAGGACTCGAGGGAAACTGAGGTAGAGGGTCACTTGCACGGCTGTCCTGAGGCTACATTGGGGTGTCCAGCAGGAGGCCACACATTGATAAGCATATTCGTGCATTCTGACCATCTTTCAAAGCAGTCTCTCGGTCAGTGATGCTTTCCTCTGATTGACTGACTTGGAGTACAGTGTGTGAAATCAGTGCCGAGTAATATGTACAGTATACTTGCGTCAGGTCCTTATTTAACAGGGCTTAACTGTCCTCAGCATAGCTCTGTGCACTGAGGAGTCGCTATCAGGTTGAAGTGTGAGAATAGTGTGCTGAGGATTAAAGGGGCACTGTTGGCTGAAATCCCCCTTCTAGTCAAGAATGTTTGACTTAACTTCTAACCTTTCTAGTACAGTAACTAAGCTGAAGAGAATTAAGTATTTGTGTGGGGTTTCCACGTACCAGTGGGGTGTAGGAAATCAACAGGAGTACAGGAATGGCTGCAGGGCTTAGGAGTCAGTGAAACCCCTGAAATGTCTCAAGTCATTCTTGCACTGTGACCCTTTGGCTTTACTTAACTTCCTTCCTTCCAGGCACATTTTAGAGTCTAGAGCAATGGTTCTCAATGTGGGGCCCATGTGACACCTATCGGGCCAGTATGGCCCTGAGGATATTGTGTGGATGTGTCACGATCATGAGGGACGGCCAGCAGCCTGGGGACTTAGAGGTTAACTATGTCCCTTACCTAACCAGGTAGCGGGCAGCCAATAGAAATGTAGGTAGGAATTTCAAACTGGGACAAAGGGATTTGGGGGTTTTCCCTTCTTTGTCTCAGTTTCTCTCCAGCTACTGAGGGGGACAGACATGTCTCTCCAAGAAAATACTCTTCACTATCTGTAAGTAGGATAAAGTTTAGATAAATCCGTTAGGTTTTATGGTTTGGGAATGGGAATCTGATGTCTGTGCCCATTTTAAAATGGGTTTTTCTCTCCTTTGTAACGAAGTTTTTGTCCATGGTGGAATTCCCCATGAGTTTATTAATTGGTGACTTTTCCATCTAGTCATTATGCTTGTAACAGGAATATTGTGGTGATGATAAAAGTTCTTTTTTTTTTTTTTTTTTTTTTTTTTATTAACCTGTTATTGGTTAATTTTTTTTGTGTCCTGGTTTTACTTTAGGGCTGAGATTTCCCAAGTGATCTCTTCCCTGGTTTCCTTATTACTTGGAATGAATTTTTTCCCCAGAATCTAGGTTTTTAAGATTTTGGGGGGGAAGCTTTATACCAAAGCCTGGAGAGAAGGTTTTGGGGTACTTTTGTGGGCCCCCACATCTGCATTCATTGTGCCAGAGTGGAGATTTAGGCCTTGACAGGATGTAACCCCCATAACGTGGCCCACAATAGTAAATAGATTGAAAAACACTGTACTACAGTTTGGACAGAAGAGGGCTGGAAAACGAGTAGCTTACTCCTGTCTTTGAATATTGATTGGGGGCATGAATATAGGTGGCCTTTACACACCTATTAAAGAGACACCCAGTCAAAGTGGGTCCAGTGACTTAGGCCCAAACTGCCCCGAGAAGCCTTAAACAGAGCAACCTGTCAAAGTGCCAAGAACCCAGGCTCTGAAAGCCAGGCTTTGGTCAGGTGTTCCATGGCGGTCACTCATTGTTCTGAAAACATTGGCCTTAAAATTCATGACGTATTTTTATACTCTTCAACATGTGCCTCTGACATTCCTTGCTCCCCTGCGGGTCTGAGAGACCCCAAAGCAGCGCCAGCGAGTTCCAGCTGTGGGGTCTGGGCTCTGTTTGTTCTGCACTTCTGTGCCCAGTCCTTCCTGTTCCATGGATGTATGGCAGTACGTGCTTGCTCTCTCCCCATTCCCCAGAGTGAAGACTTCTGCCTCTTTGGTTACCAGTTCCCCAAAGTGTCCCGGAATTTGAGGAGCTGAAGTCTCATTTGAAGAGTGTCTGTGTAGCAGGACAGGGCTTGTAACCTGGTTCCTAGAAAAGAGAGCAACCGACTCCCCAATCTTGCCCCCTGAAGATGATAGCCAAAAGGATGAAATGGGGCGGGGCTGAACTGCAACACGGTGCCCCTCCCCTCTCCCCCCCAACTCCTAGGAAGTATCTGCTGATGGGTCTATCCCCGCAGGGGGAGAGGCAGCTGAATCTGAGTGTTCCCAGAAGATGTTTCCCTGAGCTGCTGCTACTATGAGACGATTGAGTCAATTAGAAGCTATTTCTGCAGCAAGCAGCTATTTTAGGGGATCAAAGTTACAGACTGGACAGTCTTGCTGGGCTGGCAAATCCGGCAGCTGAGAAGGAACAGCTGCTCCATCTGTGGCTGTTTCTCTGCTCCTTGCCCTGTGCTGTCACTTCCTCCTGTATGCCGGCAAACTACTACACTGAACCTCTTCTTCCTTCCCTTCCAGCTTGCAACGGTGGAGCCTGGGATGAAGTTTCACATGTACACAAAAGAGGAGCTTGAGGAAGTCATCAAGGATATCTGAAAAACAAGGAGCTTCAGAGAGACTCCCTCAAATGCCTCATTCCCTGGTCGACGAGAACTGGTTTCTTTCAGTTCCTTCGAGTGCCCATGATTTTATTTCCAGCAGCTTATGTGCTTGCTCTTTGTAGAAGGCTCTAATGTTTTTTTACAGTTCCTGTACATAAACAATCTACAATAAGAGGAAATGAGAATAAATCCTTTTGTTACTCATCTCAAGTCTCTTGCACTGGAGTTCTGGGGTGGGGGAGATGGGGAGCAGGTATAGAACGACCTCCCCTGTTAAACTGCTGCAAGGTAATAATCAGATTCAAGGCTTGCTGTCTGTTCTGCAAGCCGGCGTTTCCAATAAAGCTGCTCACCCTGCCCAGCTATGCGCACCGCTTCTCTGGCCGGTGTTGTCTGGTATTCCCAGACATGGCATGACCTCCAGCAGCCACTGTGCGGGAGATCCTTTCTGGCAACGTCAATGGCAAAGCTCCCTCTTGTGGAGAATGCTGTAATAACATACTAGCTGTAGTCCAACATCTGATCCAAATGTTGCCTCTCGCACTTCCCCTTTGTGTATCCAGTGTGCCAAAGAGTCCCCCTGCTCCTCCAGGTTGATCTCATCTAGTCTCCTTCCTATGTGCAAGTCTGGCCTGTAGCTATGGTTTCGGTTGAAGGTTTCAAAATCAATCACTGGATTTGACATCTTAACAGGAGCCTTAAAAGTAGGACTGGAGGATACTTATTCCCTTAATTGGAACTAATTTTAATGTACCAAAGTGCTGTGACTTTATTTTCATAGTTAATTTTTAGCCAGTGACTTCATTTTCCAAATGTGAAATCACTTTGAGATTTATGGACATAGTATTGCCTATTAACCATCAGCCTTATCTCTGGTTATTGTCATAGGAACATCAGAGCAGCCAGACTGGGTCAGACTAAAAGGTCCATCTAGCCCAATATCCTGTCTTCTGACAGTGGCCAATGCCCGGTACCCAGAGAGAATGAACACAACAGGGAATCAAGTGATCCATCCCCTGTCACCCATTCCCATCTTTTGACAGAGGCTAATAGCCATTGATGGACCTCCCCTTCATGAATTTATCTAGTTCTTTTTTGAACCCTGTTGAAAACCTGGCCGTCACAACATCTGACAAGGAGTTCCACAGGTTAACTGTGTTGTATGAAGAAATACTTTGTTAAACATGCTGCCCATTAATTTCATTTGGTGACCTCTTGTTCTTGTGTTATGGGAAGGAATAAATAACTTTTGCTTTCCTCACACCAGTCATGATTTTATAGGCCTCTATCATATTCTGCCCCCCCCCCTTAGTCGTGTCTCTTCCAAACTGAAAATCCCAATCTAATTAATCTCTCCTCATAAGGCAGCTGTTCCATATGCCTAATCATTTTTGTTGCCCATCTTTTTCAAGATGAGACCACATCTGCATACAGTATTCAAGATGTGGGCATACCATGGATTCATATAGAGGCAATATATTTCCTGTTTTATGTACCCCTTTTTTTATGATTCCCAACTTTGTTGACTTTTTTTGACTGCCGCTGTACATTGAGTGACTGTTTTCAGAGATCTAGCCATAAAGACATCAAGATCTCTCGACTGGTAACAGCTAATTTAGACTCCATTTGATATATATAATTGGATTATGTTTTCCAATATGCATTACTTTGCATTTATATATGATAAATATGGACTTTCCTATTTGAACAATTTTGTATCATCTGCAAAATTTGACACTTCACTGAGCACCCATTTCTCCAGATCGTTTGACTGTGGTGAATAGAACTGGTTCCAGTACAGAACCCTGGGGGCAACCCTAAATTACCTCTTTCCATTCTGAAAACGGACCACTTATTCCTACCCTTTGTTTCCTATTTTGAACCAGATGCAAGTCCAGAAGGACATTCCTCTTATTCTATGACCGCTTACTTTACTTAGCCTTTGCTGAGGGATCTTGTCACAGGCTTTCTAGAAATCTAAGTATGCTATATCCACTGCTCTACAACTATCACCTTTTAAATTTTAGGTGCCAGTAATCTGGTTCCATTTTGGTTTAGGTGGAGCTCATCCTTCCTGTATAACAGGGTGGGAAACCTTTTCTGGATTTTGTGGGGCCCCTCTACATTGTGGGGGTGGGGTGGGGCCAAAAGAGGGGTTCAGTGTGCAGGAAGGGGTTACTGGGAAGTGGAGCCTGGGTGGGAGGTAGGGTGCAGGAGCAGGCTGGGACAAAGGGTGCAGGGTCTGGGGGGAGATGGGAAGCAGGAACAGGCTGGGAGTGCAGGATTTGGATAGGAGGGGTTAAGGGATGGGGATGCCTACCTGGCGCAGTTCCTGAGGGGACACAGGTGTCTCTGCTTGGCTCTGTGTGCTGCAGGGAGCACTTCCTCCCCCTGCCAGGGCAAGGCTGCAGACTCAATGTGGTCCTGGCTGGCGCTGATCAGGTCCACACTGGCCAGTGCTGGCACTTCAGCCACGGCGCCCCTCCCAGGCGGCTGGAGCACCAGCACCAGCCGGCTCCCACCACTGCAGGAGACACTAGCCCCAAGCCTTGCAGGCCAGATCAAGGCAAGCCAGGGCTAGATTCAGCCTGAATCCTCACCTTTGCTATATAGGCACCCCTTTCTCCAGTGCCTAATAAATCTAAGTCCCCCTCCCTACACCATCTTCTCATCCATGCATTGAGACCCTGCAGTTCTGCATGTCCACCTGGCCCTGCATCTGGAATTGAGGTCCTGGGCTTCAAACTTTTGCCTAACAGCCTAACGTTGGCCTTCAGAGCTGCTCTCCTATCCTTCCCCATGGCATTGGTATCTACATGTAACATGACCACCAGCTCCAGCCCATCACTACCCAAGTCTGTCTAGATGTCTGAGAGCTGCAACCTTTGCACCAGGTAGGCAAGTCACTCTGTGGTTCTCCTAGTCATCACAAGCCCAGCGGTCTGTATCGCCCATTCTACTGATCCAATCGCCCGTTACTAACACCTGTCTCTTCCTAATAACTGGAATTCCGTCCCCTGGAGAGGTATCCTCAGTGAATAGACACCATGAGATCATTTGGAAGGAGGGTCCTAACCCAGTTACGGGATTGTCTCCCTCCACTCCAGTTGGATGTTCTCCTTTCTTGAGACTTTCACCCTCCTCAGCAGCACAGAGGTGTCTAATGGGAGGTGGGATTGTCCTACTGTGTCCCGGAAAGTCTCATCTATGTACCACCCTTATCTCCTCCATTTCATTCATCCAAAGCCCATATATGGTCAGTGAGGGGAAGGAGTTTTTTGTGCCAAATGTACATATGCCACCTGCCTATGGGGCAGACAATCATACATGTTACATGAGGTGCAATAATGGGAGAGCCCTGACTCTCTTTTGGGCTCCTGCCTGCATTCTCTTTTTCCTCCTGGAACTTACTGTGTTGATGGGATGTTTTTTTTTAGTCAGGTAGTTTTGGTTTTAAGCTTAGAAAGTGTATTTAGCTTTCCCTCTCCCTTTAAACTCCCATTACCTGCTCCTGTTCACTAGCTGTCATTTAGAGTAGACCATTGTCCCTGTTGCTCATCTCATACCTGTCTCACTTTGGTCTCCAGTCGAGCATTAGTTAGAGAAACTAACCAGAGCAGCTGTAACTTTCTCCTCCAGAATCTGGATCCTGGGAATATCCGTGTGTGTTGGATTGATTGCAAGGGAACTGTGCTTAATCACCAAAGAGAAAAGTGTGTTCCTGTGAATCTTGTTTTGCCAGTGCTATTTCAGAATTTAGAAAATTAGCTACATGGTGGTTCCTGCCTGTGATGACATTTTTCTCGCGTGGGTGGCTCATTAAACCCCTGCATATGGCTGAGGGTGGATCTACCTGAAGTTTCAATTTGAAACTATTTTGAAAAATTAAAATGTTCATCATGAAGAATTTAGAAGGTTTTGGTTTTTGGGAAATAAGCAACCGAGGTCGCATTTTGAACACAGGCCTGAGACAGACTTGGTCCGCTCAGATTTGGGTCAGTTTTCTTCTACTGCTGCTTGGGAATGGTGTGAGCAGCAGGAAAGGTGGGGGGTGGGGACTGTGAGTGTTAGGAGGAAGCTCTTACGGAACAGAGTAAGATTAGAATAGCAGGGCCCTCTCCCACCTTCCAGGAGGCTACACTGAGGGGAAACTCATCACTCCAGCAGCTGGGAACAGGAAAGATTCAAATCAAACAGTCCTCTTAGGAATCCCAGCATCCTCTCTTGTACCACAAGTGGGAGATTGGACTGCACCAGCCTGCTACCCGGGGACCTTTTAAAAAACCAGCCATACTTGGTTAGAACAATGGGTCATCTGGCCAAGTATTGTCTTCTCGCAGTGCCCAATGCCAGATACTTCAGAGGGAACGAACAAAACAGGGCAAGTTCTCCACACCAGTCCTGACTGTACAGACCCCAGCATATCCCTCTTGTCTAACCTCAGGGTTGAATCTCTCTTTGTATGGAAGCTATTCCAGAACAGTAATCTCTCTAGATATAAAATGTTTTTGCCTGCTGGGCGACAGAAGGACATCATCCAAGGGGGAGGTGTGGCTGGGGTAGGCAGGCCCCCAGCCCCACTTACGACCCTGCTAAGGATGTTAAAATGTGGTTAATTGACTAGTTGACTAATTGATGGGGGCTCTTGTACATTTCAAAGGAGGAATGTGGAACTCCACAGGCAGCCCAAGGTCAGTGGGAAGTCCTGCTGACTCTTGCCGCAGGTGAGTGCCTGCTTTGACATGTACAAGAATCCCCAGCAGGGGCTCTTGTGCATTTCAAAGCCATGGAGCCTGGGATCAGCAGGGGGCTCTCAGTCCCCCGCTGACCCCGGGGTCCACGCTGCATGTCGCTAGCTGGGGAGTCCCCAGCTGCCCCTGGGCTCCACTTTGTCATGCAAAGGTGGTGTTTTAAAGGGGCAGCCGCCACACAGCTGATCTGCAAATGGTTATCAGATACTGGACTCACATGTAGTGCAACTCCTGCTCCTCGTCTCCCCTGCCTGTTCTTCCCGAACAGTCTATACCCTTCCGTGACAGCGCTCCAGTCATGCGAGTCATCCCAGCAAGTCTCTGTTATCCCAATCAGATCCTAGTTCTTGGACTGGGCCAGGGCCTCCAATTCTTCCACACCGAGAGAAGCCAGCAGGGCTGGGGCTCCGCCATCTTGCCTGCCACCAGACCTGGTAAGTAGCCCCCTGCCAA